ATATTAAAGATATTCATTAAATAATTACAACATAAGTTATTGACTTTTAATTTTCAATAGTATTTTATATTCTGGAGGGGAATAAGCGTCGACTATATTAGGGTCGGCATCAATACCATTATGACTGTCGAGGACTATATCGTAGTCTTGAGTCGACTGCAGAAATCTGACCAAAACTAGAAAGAGGTCAGCGATGGCTAACTTCTCTCCGGGACAAACACGTCGTCCCACACCGAACGGGATGTACGCTTTTGGACGGGTAGTTATGAACTCTCCCTGTTTATCAAGAAATCTCTCGGGAATGAACTCATTTGCTTTCTCCCAATCCTTATCATTACGACAAATGTAGCCCTGATATACAATAACCGCCATATTCTCAGGAATGGTATGTTTACCTGGGATTTATCCAAAAAAAATTTAAAAATAAATAAATATATATTATCCAATTTTGTTAAATTAATTTACCAATAGTAGTCCTAACAATAGCCCTGTGAGGTAAGCCCTGAGGCACTATATTCCTGAACCTCAGTGTCTCAGCGATGAAAGCCATGACATAATGGCATCGATTCCTGTCCTCATGTGTTGGCATTCGGTCTCCGATTTGTGTCTCAATCTCTTGTCTCAACTTTCGTTGCATTTCCGGGTAATACGACAACAAAATGAGTAACCATTGAAATGTCTGTTGGGATGTATCAGTTCCGGCGAAAAACAGATCAAATATAGTCATCGCTAGGTTTTCATCGGTGAGATAAGGGGCCGACTCTTTACCCTCTCTGAGGGCCTCATTCTTAGCGGTTATGAGTGCATCACAAAAGTCTCTTTCAATGGATTCCGAGTAGTCTTTCTGATGTGAAATATATTTATGTTTCATGAGTTCTGCGGCGTCTTTAAATAATTTCCTCATTTTATTGACTCGTTTTTTGTCTATTAGTCTAAATATCGGTGAGAATTCCCACAAAATAAAGCGAGGTCCGATCTCTCGACCAAAATCACGTAAAACATACTTCATATCCTTAAACTCCTTGTCCTCCAAATCATAACTATTCATATAATCATATTCAGTAAAGTAAGAAATAAATATATGTTCAGGTATCAATTATTATGCAATGCTTACCTCTGCCCAAATGTACTGGTGGCTAATATGTTGAGAAATGTGAGATATATGTAATTGATGGGCGAAAAGGGTTTACCCACTCCTTCCTTATCTAATATAGTTTTCACCGTCCGGTCCACACAATCGGTGGCCACGTATGCCAGCCTATCGTTTGTTGAGTATTTTCTATAAATCAATTTAATTTTGGGATGAGATATGATTTAATAATTTATAAATTATTGTCAATACAGTATCTAAATTTTTAAACAATTAGACACATACTGTACGGCCGAGTGGGCGACCCTTCTAAGCGCTTCCCAGGTATGTCCGTAATCGGTAAATACAACGTCTTTCATCGTGTCATTGGATAATTGAGATCCTATTTCATAGAAAAATAATATTTCGATATTTTTTGTTTTTAAAATTGAAAATAAATAATTATTATACCGAAAAATGATTCAGTCCGGCCAGCAATGTCATTTTTCTTGAACGCCTCGCGAGCCATATCTATGTCCGTAACAAACACGTGGGGGGCGTTTCCCAACCAAACCGTGAATACCGGGCCGTACTTCTTGGCCACATTCCGGAGCACATCATCGAAATGGAGTTTCGATTTGAACACTGTTTTTAATTTTATTTTTATAATTAATTTATTAGTTTTTAAGACTTATAACAACTATATTATAAATACTTACTCAATATATTTCCCAATAAAGGAACTGGATGTGGCCCGGGAGGCAAAGTGGATCTAAAGTGATAGAATTTAGCTATTCTATACACTATATAACCAATTGTCAGGGTTATTACAGACGTGCGAATATCTGTCGCAAATAGTGACAATAAATGCGATAATATAGACATTTTAATTACTAGTATATGTAACTTATAAGATTTATTAATGAATCTTCTAAAAGGATATTTTTAAAATACACTTTTAAATACTTATAAATAAAATTCTCTCCTCCTTATATACCTCTAAAATACAGTTTTAATATCCTTGAAATCAAATGTCGTCACTTTATGGATGGGACTGCAATATCTTATCACAATTACAGTTGTCTGTAAACTCTAATTATCTTATTGTTTACAATATAATTATAGAATATATGAATTATACTGTAAACGCAAATATTGTTAACACACAAACATTTTTAAAACATATTTAAATTAATATTTAGTATAATTTAATATTTAAGTTATATGAAATAAATAAAACAATTCAGCACTGTATATACAGTACAATAGAGTTAATTAATTATAAACAGCATTTATTTATACTATAAGTAGCATAGTGCGCTATATAACATAACAAATTAATAAGTGTACTGGTGATTATCACCAGTACATTAAGGACAGTGTTACCGAATAGTACCTTAGAGTATAAACATTCAATGTTTACATTATTACAAAAATAGATATTATTTTTAACATAATATGTGCCAGTGAAAGTTGAAGGGAACTCTGTACTTTTAATGAATGATATAGTGTTAATATTGATTAAGGTTTATTGGGATACCAATACAATAAAAAATAAAGCATTCAATGCTAATAATTTTAAAACATTAAAAGCACAGAGTTCCCTTCAACTTTCACTGACACATATGTTATTATCCTGAATTTTCTGAGTAGTTTAATAATATAATTTTAAATTGATTTATTTAAATTTGATTTACTTAATATTGCCCGAAGATTTTATTTTTAATGCTCTTAATTTAAAACAAATTTATATAACATTTTTGTTAATATATGAATACATGCAGATATTAGTTGTATAAGGATAAAGGTAATCCAACAATTTTGCTAAATTTTATGTAATAAATAAAGAGTAATGAACTCAAATTTGCAATTTATTAAAAAATGAATATGCAATATTTTTGAGCAAAGCTACATTGTTTTTAAGTAAGTAAGTTATATTGATTTTATACTTTTATTATGTTTTTATATATCATTTACAATTATGATTATTCATTAATATTTTTAAAATACTTTTTATAAACATAAAATAACTATTAAGTTTAAGTTTTCAATATTTATTGATATTTTCAGTGAAAAATGACTTAAAAATAAAAATTAAGTTATTTGCCGAACGTTTCGGTCAACACTGTGATCATCATCAGGGCTAAGATGTTATGAGATATGAGACAATATTTCAAAAGTTTTATATAAAATAACAAGTTGCCATACAATGAATATAATTTCAATTCTACAAAGTTTATTGACTTATGTTTTTTAGTAATATTTTATATTGAGGAGCACTTAAAGAATCGATAACATTAGGGTCGGCTTCAAGACCACAATTACTGTCGAGGACTATATCGTAGTCTTGAGTCGACTGCAGAAATCTGACCAAAACTATGAAGAGGTTAGCGATGGCTAACTTCTCTCCCGGACAAACACGTCGTCCCACACCGAAGGGGATGTACGCTTTTGGACGGGTAGTCGTATACCTGCCCTCACTGTCCAGAAATCTCTCGGGAATAAACTCATTAGCTTTGTCCCAATCCTTATGATTACGACAAATGATTCCCTGACACACAAGAACTCCCATATTTTCAGGGATTGTATATTTGCCTGAAATTATTCAATAATAATAACTCTTTAAAATATTATGTAATTTTAAGAAATTTATTTACCGATAGTAGTCCTGACAACAGCCCTATGAGGGACTCCCTGTGGGGCTATATTCCTGAACCTCAGAGTCTCAGCGATGAAAGCCATGACATAATGGCATCGATTCCTGTCCTCATGTGTTGGCATTCGGTCTCCGATTTGTGTCTCAATCTCTT